CTTCCACCGTGTTTCCTGTCTCCAGGGTGTACAAACCTGACTGTTAGCCAGTGATGGCTCCAGAATGTCCCCAGGGGGAGAGAATAGGGAACATCCCGTGTGCCAAGGCAGTTGGAGAAGTGCTCTGCATGGCGCTGTTCCTTTTCTGTTTGATTTACACACAATCTGTTAGTAGTTAAATGATGAAGATTAAGCTGTTTATATTGGGAAAAAAGTGGGCTGTGTGTTTATTCACAATTCAGATTCTGAAAAAATTGAGGATAATTGATTTGCAGGAAATAGTTCAAAAGAACCTGAATTTAAGATAACATTCAATACCATCAAATTAGAAAGACAACACTTTACAGAGGAAAAATCTGGTATCAACATTTTTTATTTTGAGGAGTTTGTATAAAGTTGGAAAAGTTTAACTCATCTTCATCCCAATCATCCCAGTTTGCAGGGCCTCTGTGCCCTGTAGTGTAAATATCTCCGACCAATGAAAAGGCTTCCTGTATTTCATCTCTTCTGAGATACATCTTTTTTTCCATATTGTAACATCTCTGAATTTTTGGTGCATGCTGTCCTAGTATTTTGTTAGATTTTGAGCAGTTTTTATTTTTCTATCATTTGTATTGGAGTCAGCAGCAACTTGCATTTGATCAAACACACTATTTTCTCTGGCTTGTTCTGTGATGAGGTGGGAAAGACAGTCCTTCTAGGAGCTGCTTGCGTGGTTTTTTCGGTCACTAGCGCCCGGTCACACTCCAGGCCGGACACCCAGCTGCCTTTGCCCATGTCTGCCTCTGTACGTAACAGGTGTTTCAAACTCAATGCTTCTCAGACTGGGGTTCTGCCATCACCTCCATACCCCAAACTGTGCTTCCACCGTGTTTCCTGTCTCCAGGGTGTACAAACCTGACTGTTAGCCAGTGATGGCTCCAGAATGTCCCCAGGGGGAGAGAATAGGGAACATCCCGTGTGCTCAGGGAGATAGGATAAGACCCTCACCCCTCTCGCTGTGGAACAGATACTAGTTAAAGCGTGGCCTATTTCATAAAGAGTGTTTGGGTTCTAAATGACTGTACCTCATTTTTCCCATTTGTCAAGGGAGAATGGTTTCCCAGTTCTGTTAATAAAATGGGCAAGGCAACTAAAAGTGCCATAAAACTGAAATTCTGTGACTTAAGATAGGAGACCTTTTAAAAAGACCTTTGTACTAGAATCATTCAAGTGGCCAATTCCCACTAAGCAACTGACATTCTGAGGTCATGTGTCAGTGGGGGACACGTGTGTGGAGAGCTCCTGTTTGCTCACTGCCAACTCTTCCTGCCAAATTTGCTTCCTGTACTGGGTACTGTTCCTGAGTGGGTCAAGGTGGGGTTTATTTTCACACAGGACGTTTGCAGGGACCACCAGGCATAGGCAGGTTTCATAGAACCTGCAGGGGCCTGATGCCCTGGGTCCCCTGCAGCCGAGGAACTCCTGCATTGGGGCTGCTGTGGGCCCATTAGATCATGAACCCAAGTGTGTCAGACCTGGGAATGGTTCTCTCCTCAGTGTTTTTAGGGCACTGAATTCCCATCTGGCTCAGGAGAGCCTTTGCATCAGCCCAGTATTGTTACCTTTTCTTTTCGCTTGCTTGGCAACTTACTTTGTGGAGGTACTGAAATAGTGCCTGAAAGGGGAAAGTGGACGTGGACTTAGAGAAGAGAACGTGGGGCGAGTTGCAGCACGGCTGTGCAGCAGATGCTCCCGCAGCTCCCAGAACGTCCATCCGACAACTGGGTAGAGGCTGTGCAGCTTCCATCCAAGGAGGCCTCACTTGAAGATGAGGCAAAAGGCAGCCCCTGCGGCTGGGGGACTCGACTCGGAACTGCAGACCTGGGCCGAAAGGGGGGGTCTGGGAGGTGCAGTCTCGGGAGGTGGAGCTGCGCCACGGATTCTGGGTACTGAAGAACCATGGTCACGCATCTGAGGATTCTGGGTGTTGAAGTCCGGGGGCTGCACCGCGCTGAGTCTTCTGGGTACTGGTAAGTTGGTGCTGCATCGCTTCAAGGATTCGGGTGCTGGACAGCGGAAGAGGGCCTGAGCTCCTGGAGCGACACCGCGCCCAGGGTTCTAGGTACCGAAGACGTGAAGCGAGGCTAATGCTTCCAGGTACTGAAGTTCTGGAGCCACACTGCGCCGAGGATTCTGGGTACTGAAGTTCTGGTCTCGCCACGTGGAGGGTTCTGGGTGCTGAAATCCGGGGCCTGTGTGGAGGATCCCGGGTAGTGCGCTCGCGTGGACGGCCACGCCGAGGCGCAGAGCCTCCGTCTGCATCCGGCAGAGGACGCGGAGCCCCCGTCCCCGCCCGCCGTCCGTCCCCGGGTGAGTCGGGGCCCTGCAGCCCCCTGTCCTGCTCGCTCTTCCGAGCGGGGAGGAGGCCGGCCGTGCGGATGCGGCGGGGGAGGGGTGCTGAGGCCGGAAGCGCCTGCAGGCCGCAGGGGCAGGGGGTCCGTGTCC